TTCTGGTAAAAAAAAAAAAAAAAAAAGAGGAATAGAAAATTACCCCCATCTTTGCTGTGATGGTCTTAAGCACTGACTGAGGGTCCTCCTCACTCTTGGTCTCCCGACTGGTACCTCAACCTCCATCTAGTCACCTGAACTCCAATCAACTCCACCAGTGCCACAAAGCTTAACCTGCCACGATCGTGTCACTACTTAAAGGGACTAGAGTGGCTCCCTCTGCCTGTTAAAATATAAAATAGCTAGACATCAAGAATTACCACGACTAGAAGTCAAAGTCTGCATTCATTCTTTTCTCTTTTTTCAAGACAAGGTCTCAATTTGTAGTGCAGGCTGGCCTTGAAATTCCATCGATCCTCCTGCCTCGGCTTCCTGAGTGCTGGGCTGTGCCACCACGCCAGCTGTTCTTTATTCCTGAGCACACTTTAATGCACTCCACTCCCCAGTGTGCACTTAATCTCTCCTCATCCATCTTGTAAATATACTCCTCATCCTTTCAAGTCCAACTTAACCGTCACTGCCTTGACAGTCCCCGAGGCAAGTTGGTAATTTTCTTCCGTCTTAGCTTTAGTCTTTGCCCATTCCCTATCACAGCTCCCACTGCACTGCTTCCACGTCACTTTCCTATACAATTCCCTTCGCAAACAGAGTGCCGGGGTTACAGGTGTGCGCCAACATGCCTGGCTCTCTACTCTCTCCTTCAAGTGTTCTTTCCAGAATATTCTACAAAGCCAGGCAGAGTGGCAAATACTTATAGTCCTAGCTACTCAGGAGCCCGATGCAGGATCACCTGAGTCCAGGAATTTAAAAAAGAAAAGAAAAAAAAAGGCCAAGGATTTAGTTCAGTGGTGCTGAGCCTGCCTCACAAGCGCAAGGTCCTGAGTTTGATCCCCGGTACCAAAAAAAAAAAAAGTATGCTGGTACGTGCTGGAGCACACTTGTAATTCCAAGGAGGGTGAGGCAGGATTATGAGTTTGAAGCCAGGCTGGGTAACATAAAGACCCTGTCTCAAAACAAAACAAAACAAAAAACCAAACTGACAGATACTATTTTACAAAATCACACTTCCTGGTTTTCCTGCTGAGCTAGCAAGTCCTCTGACTTTCAGTGGTACTGCTGTGGTCTTCAGGCTCCTAAAGTTTAGTGTGTCCCACAGCTCAGGTCTTCGCCCTCTGAACTCCTTATGTCCAAAGCTTTAAATACCACTGACAGGAAAATGACCGCCAACCCTCCATCTTTAGCCTACACTCTCCCTGAGGCCCAGCCTTCCGCAGTCACCGTAGATGTCTCAGTGGCACCTCCTGCACGGGAAGTCTGAAACAGAGCTCTGGATCGGAACCTTCCTTCCTGTTCTCCTCATCCCGTAACTAATCCACACAACACTTCTGTCGGCTCTACCTACTGAATACACGGAGTCAACCCCTTCTTTCCCCAGCTGCAGCTGACTGACTTCCGCCTCAGAGCGCACCGTCCATAGAGCAGCCAGGTGAGCTCCGTGAGACGATGTCATCCCCCGGTTGAAACCTTCTAAAAGCTTAGCATCAGAATAATGTTGCCCTGGCCTACGAAGCCCCAACAGTGTGGACCCTGCCTCTCCTCTGGGAACCTTCCTCCACTCTCCTTGCCGTTCTCTTCACTGCACTCTGGCCACCCTCCTGCTTGTCTCAGAGATGCCACGCTTGATCCAGGCCCCAGGTCTCGTCCCTTTGTCCCTTTGTTCTTCCCCTACCTGAAGTTGCATCGTTTTGTTCCTGCCATCCCTCCCCTCTCCCACTCAATTTCAGGGTATTTAGGTATATACCTGAAACTTGCATTCTTCTTTTCTTTACTAGCAGCATTGGGGATTGAAACCAGTGCCTCACACTGAGTTAGATCCCGAGCGCTTTTTTAATGTTTATTTTTGAGACAGGGTCTCTTGCTAACTCACTATTGTTGCCCAGGCTGAGCTCAAACTTGCCATCCTCCTGCCTCAGCTTCCCAGACAGTGGGAGTTACAGATGTGCACCACTACCTCAGCCTATATACGTGTGTCGTTCGTTGCCTGTTTCTCCCAAGAAAAGACTGAAGGCAAACACTTAACCTTGTTCACTGCTATATTCCAAGGGCTCCGAGTAATGATCAATACACAGTGGACTCAAAGAATATTTTTCAAACAGAGAAATGAATGAATTTGTCCGTATTCTCAGTGCTTACCAAAATGTGTGCACAGAGTAGAATGTGGTGGCACCCTTACCGGCATATCCGTTCTCCAGTCTCTGCTACTCCAAGTCATCGGAGACTTCCTAATACTAGAACTGACCAATGCTTTGAGTGGTCCCAGAGGGACTTCCCAAAGTGAATTCACACAACAGAAAATTGGACAAATTTCAATATGGACCGAAAAATATAATTTCAAGGAAAAATGATAGTGTAGTTTTTCCTACTAGGAAATAGCTTAGAAGAAAAGCACCCAAATGCTACCCTATTTGAGATTTCTCTGATGATGGACTAATAATTTGGGAGCTTACAGGCTTAGCGAAAGTGTCTACCTAAAATTGGTTCTTACGGACCTCGGCCATCTATGACAGAGGATCAGAGGAACTCATGACTCTTTGTGTGTGTGTGTGTGTGTGTGTGTGTTTGGATAGGGTTTGCTATGTAGTTCAGGCTGTCCTTGAACTTACTACACAGTCCAAGATGGCCTCGAACTCAGTGATTCTCCTGCCTCAGCCTCCCACATGTTGGGATTACAGGTGCGCGTACCACCACACAGAGGAACTCCTACTTCTGAGAGAAACAGTAATGCTTCATCTGGAATAAAGAGAAGGTTCATGGAGAAAATGCTCTGATGACTGAGTAATACTTTTCTTCTACCAGCACTCGGGAGGCCGAGGCAGAAGGATCGCTGTGAGATCAAGACCAGCCTGGGCAACATAGTGAGTTCCAGGTCAGTCTCAACTACATAGTGAGACCCTATCTCAAAAAAACAAACCAAACCAAACAAAAAAACCTTTCTTCTAGCTCAACCTTAAAAATGGCAATGAGCTCAAAGTCAGAGCACAAGAGCAGTCTGTGCTCTTCCAGGAAAGGGAAAAAGCTGTGAGAGTGAAGCCGTTACCTGGGTGCTCGGTCTGCTCAGCATCATGTGTGCATTGACTACTTCCAGAATATGTGCGGTGAACTCATTCATATCCTCCAGGGGCATGATCCTAAACGCTACCAGGCTCTTTTTGTTCTATTAAAATAAAAATGAAAATGTTAAGTAAAAGATGAGCAGATTTAGGTCAAAACACTGTGCTTTCTTCTAGATTACAGTATTTTGCCAGTATGAGGGAAATGTCTGTTATACACATATCTAAAATTTTAACTCATAAGTAATCCAACAAACCAAACTAGGTTGGGTATCCATGATTTATTCAGGGCAACAAAACCAGGCAAAAACCAAACAAATAAAATAAAACAACAAAGCCAAGCAGAGTCTATCTTCCTGACTCCAGTTTCTCCTTTCTACCTCTAACGGATGCCACAGTTGTCAGTTGTAGGTGGAGTTTTTTTCTATCAATCTCTTACTTTTCATTTTTGAGACAGGGTCTCACTTTGTTGTCCAGATTGGCTGTAAACTCACTATGCAGCCCAGACTGGCCTCGAACTCGTGGTTATCCCCCTGCTTCAGCCTCCCAAGTCTGAATTACAGGCGTGTGTCACCATGCTGAGCTATTACTTTTGTTTTTTTGATACTGGGGATTGAACTCAGGACCTTGCGCTTGCAAGGCAGGTGGCAGAACCACTGAGCTAAATTCCCAGGCCTATTACTTTTCTATTAAGATGAAAACCAGTTACTTCTCGCTGAAGAAGAGAATAAGGAAATAACTTCTCATTAAACATAGAGGATTACTTATTAGGTATCCTAAACCCAGACTTGAATCCAGAGATTGCTTCATGCAAATACATTTCATCGGCCATTTTATTGAGACTTTACCTGAAAGGACCTCAGGTGGCCAGCCACTTTCACATATGTTTCTGGAGGAACCACAGTGTTTTCTCCACCAGTGTCCTAACAAAAGACACAAATATACCATTAGGTCTCAGTGATGCTGGTAAAGGCCTAAGACTTCTAAACTATACATACAAAGCTAGTTATAAGTAGAAGAGCTAAATCCCCAGCAGTGGAGTTGTTGGTCAACATTTTACTGATTTTTTTTTTGGTACTGGGGATTGAACTTGAGACCTTGAGCTTGCAAAGTAGGCAGCAGAACCACTGAGCTAAATCCCAGCCCTATAATAATATTTTAGGAAGTTTAGAAAGTTCTAAATTTGTATGTGGTCAAGTCTATTAATCTTTCATTTTAGAGCTTCTGCCTTTGATTTTTTTTGGGTGGGGGGAGATTGGGCCTTGCTGACCTTGAACTCACTATGTAGCCCAGACTGACTGTGTAGTGATCCACCTGCCTCAGCCTCCCAAGTGCTGGGATTACAGGCATGCGCCACCATGGCCAGCCTGCCTTTAATATCTTGTTTATGTATTACCTGTTTTAAAAATTCGACATAGGGCCGGGGATCTAGCTCAGTGGTTCCCCGCCTGCCTTGCAAGCACTAGGACCCAAGTTTGTTCCCTGTACAAAAAAAAAAAAAAAAAAAAAGTTCGACATCCCAAATTCCCAAAGTAACCCCACCACAATTCAAAAATAGCCACTTACATCTGTGTCAACCCACTGGCGGACATCCATGGGTGCAGCTGTCATGTCATCTATTTTGTAAACAATGTTGGTTGGAGCCTTCTCTGCTTGTCTGATTATTCCCACAATAGTGACCTAGGTTGGGGAGGAAAAAAGGCTTGGTAACTCCTGGAAATTAAGGCAACATTTATGTACCTTTAAATAAAGCATGTCTTCTTATGCTTAAGTGATTCACCTATAAATTCTTTTACATACCTGTGAAATCTCAACATTCCCAATTTTGAATACTTCATCAACCAGAGTAGCAGAAAGCAGCTGAGATATGGTACAAGGCACAATGTACTGGGCTCGGGCTCTCTGCAAAGGCATGCACAAATTCAACTCAAACAACCATTCATTTAATACTTGCTGTGTACCCAGTTTGTAATAGCTAAAACTTGGAAACAGCCCATTGCCCACCAGCTGGAAACTGGATAAAGAAGATGTGGTTTTTCTATAAAATGGAATATTACTCAGCCATAAAGAACGAGAAAATATTCATTCATAGGAAAATGGATACATATTGAAGATATACTCCTAAGTGAAATAAATAAGGCACACATGTGTAAATACCATATAGTTTCTCTGGTGTGAATAATCTGGAATAATACAGAAGATCCTAATAAGATTACTGACATTGAGAAATGGGAAGAAAGGAGCTAAAGGTGTAGGGAAGGTGGGATGGGTAGGGGAAGGGTAATAAGGGAAAAGAAAAAAATGTGAGATAATGAAAAGATGGAAATAAAGTGTTTGTAGATGGGGAGGGGGTGAAGGGAGGGCAGGAACAAGGGGAAAAAATGAGAACCAAGACTTGTCATGTAGAGGTACAAGATCCCAACAATCAATGTAACTGTACTGTATCCCTACAAGGTAACAATAAACTCAATTAAAGCAAAAAAAAAAAAACTTACAGTGTACCAAGCATTTTAAATATATTAGCATACTGAGATTCCCACAATCTCATTGTCCTCGCTTCACAGGAGGGAAACCAAGATCATAAGCTAACAAATACTTGTAAATTCAAACCCAGGTTCATCTGACTCTAAAGCTCCTGCTGAGTGGGGAATCTGGGGTGCACTGTGGATTCATCCACCTGCCAGAACAGACCCTTGGGAGGAAGCCCCAGCTACAGGGGGAAGGCAGGCTGTCAGGACACTAATAGGACTAGAAGGTACTGAAAAAGCGTCTGACAAATGGCCAGCAGAGATGGGACTCTGGAATCCCTCTGGGTCTCCTAAAGTATGGCTTCTTTTAGGACAGATGTTCTGACAACTGGATGAGCTCCTGGGAAAAATGGGGTAAGAGCTTAGCCACACTGGACATTTTAAAGGGAGGAACAGGATGAGCTGATCAGAAGAGCATCTAGTGCAGACAATCAAATATTCTAAATCAGCCTGACAACAGAGGTAAACTCTCATCTTAACCCACCACTGGCAAGGGTCCTCTGGGGAAGACAGATCAGTGAGAAGCTTTTTGCTTTCAACACACCTAACTCAGAAGAAGTACAAATGTAAACCACAGAGCTAAGCATGGTGGTACAACCTGTAATCCTAGCACTTGGGAAGCTGAGGCAGGAGGATTATGTGAGCCAAGGAGTTCAAGACCAGGCCGGGCAGTTACATTGTCTCAAAATAAAAATAAAAAATAAAAGGAGGTTGGCATAGTGGTACATGCCTGTAATTCCAGCATTCAGGAAGCTGAGGCAGGAGGATCACTGTGAGTTTGAAGCTAGCCTAAATTACACAGAGAGATCCTGTCTCAAAACAAACAATAACAAAACAAAAGCCCCAAAACAAATGTAAAGAATTACAAAGCAACATCAAAAATACAAACTTTTGAGGTAGAGATGTAGCCTAGCACGCGTGAGGGCCTGGGTTCAATCCTGACAACATACACATATGCACACATACGTGCATAACGTGAACAAATATAAAAGACACAGGAACACGGGATCAGGTTAGAAGGGAAACACTCCTGTCGGTGGTGAGAAAGCAAGGTCTAGAGGGGGCCATAGCTCTGAGCTGGGCATCCCCTCCACAGCTGCCCACACCCTTGGGGACAGGGAAGGAGCTGAGGAGGTGCCCCAAGGAGAGTGCACAGCTGATCTCCTTTCACCTTCCTGGTGCCACCCTCACAGGTGCACTCATTGTTCCAAAGAGGTTTGCAGAGAGTGTACCTGTACAAGTGTTCAATTTCAAAAAAAATGATAATATTAATGGCTGAATATGAACCATAGGCTACTCTTGACAGTACTCTTATGAAATCAATATTTTTATAAATTTCACTATATTGGAAATTTCAACCAAATGTAATAAAATTTATGTTGAGAGAAGGCTTTTATCTAAATGAGTGTGGAAAACACTAAAAATAGCTGAGCTGGGCCAGGGATTTACTCAGTGCTACAGTGCCTGCCTTCTAAGCACAAGGTCCTGAATTCAATCCCTGGTACCCTCCCTCCAAAAAATAGCTGTGTATGGTAGTGCATGCCTGTGATCCTGGTGCCCAGGTGGCTGAGGCAGGAAGATTGCTGTGTCAAAGCCAGACTAAACTACACAGTGAGACCCTCATTCAAATGCTAAATAAATAAATAGTAAAAAGATCTGAGCTTGAACCTCCAGTTTATAACCATCCTCCTCTGAAAAGCTGTCTTAAAAAATAGCTCAGGTTCAGGATTCTTGAGTAAAAATATGCAGAACAGAGAAGAGTAGTTTATTTTTAGGAAGAAAAGACGAGACTTTGCATTTCTTGTTTTCTCCTTCACAATCTGAGGAAAGACAAAGTTAAGAGAACTGAAGAGCCAGGGGCTGGGAGTACAGCTCAGTGAAAGTGCTTACTGCACAGGTCCCCGGATGGCCCCAGCACGGCTGAGAGAGATGGAGACAGAGAGACAGACAAGAGAGAGAAGGGGGGCGGAGAGAAGAGGGGAGAGAAGTCTGAAGTTCCCTGGGGTCTTCTAGGAAAAATAACTCGGAAGCACTCCAAGAAAGAGAGAAGTAGCTGCTCAAGAGAGACTCGATTTGCTCAGTGTCATGTGTGCACTGTGTGCTTCTACTAAGCAGGCACTAGCTATGTAAGCTTAATCCCTAAATACACCTAACCTCTGCTGTATGCTAGAATAAACAGTATTAAAGGACAATGTGAAGTAACTGGTGAAAAAGAGAAAGCAATATCCAAATGTATAGGAATTATTGATGACTTTTTCCCCCCTCTACCAATGCACCTGGATTAAGAGGGCTTTTTTTTTTGGATACTGGGGATGGAACTCAGGACCTCAGGACCTTGCACTCGCAAAGCAGGTGCAGTGCCAATGAGCTAAATCCCTGGCCATAGATTAAGAGTTTTAAGGGAAGGTTTATCATCCTGTATACCAAACACATGAGTCTGAACACCACATCTGAGTGGCACCTAAAGGGAAGCCAAATTAATCCTGCAGTTATAGGATAAAATTAATAGCAACTGTGTAAATGCAAACACATCTCTAAAAAAAGCAAATAAACATTTAGACAACCTTCTGTAGATCACTTTCTTATTCTCTTTAATCAATTTTCAGAAGTACCCTGTGTTAAGAGCAGTACCATCAGAAGAGAAAAATGAAGGGTCACAGGCTTCAAACTGCTAACTAACGTCAGTTAAAAGGCAAAGCTGGGTGCGGTGATATACACCTGTAACCCTAGCTACTCAGCGGGCTGAGCAGGAGGCTCACAATGCCAGCTTGGGCAACACAGCAAGATCCTACCTCAAAATAAAAAAGGGCTGAGGGCCCCAGGATTTAGCTCAGTGGCACCGTGCCTGCCTCTCAAGCCAAGGTCCTGAGTTCCATCCCTGGTAGGGGTGGGAGGGTTGAGGAGTAGCTCATTGGTAGTGGGGCCCTGAGTTTCACCTAGTACCACAAAGGGAAAAAAGACAATGTTAATTCTGGGACCTAATTATTCTGGCTCCAAATCCCATGCCCTTTTAAAGATAATATCAGAACTGTTTATTGAAAGTGACTACTAAGCAGGTACTTTGTATTTAATATTAAGTCTCACAACTTCCTTGTAAGTTATGGATTAACCTCATTGAGTTTATGGTAACCAAGAAAGTTAAGAAATGTGTCCAACAACATCAGTAAAACAAGTGTCAGTGAAATTACACTCTTCCAATGTATTTTTCACCTCGCTACGTTTAATTAGAAAGCAACTCCAAATACGGGGAGAATATAAAATAGGCTAGAAATACAAGTTCAAAGTTTTTCCACCAGACTAATTCAATAGCTATGAGAAATTTCAGAACAAATCCGAGGAAACAGTGGATACATAATTATGGAAGGTTGCGTTTCTAAAATTTACAGAAATTATACATTTTAAGGGACACGGAAAACAATCGATAGCTTCCGAATAAGTTCAAGCTTAATACCCTTCCTTCGCTTGAAACGTTTCTCTTGGATAAATGCGGAGTTTTAGACCACTAAAAAGCGAAAAGAAACCAAACCCTTTCAACCTACTGATTTCTTCTCAGCCTGAGAAGCTGTTGGTGACCCGAAGCCCCCTGGAGACTGAGTGTAGCTGACGCCTCCTCCGTAGCTGGAGCTGCTATAGCTTTCATAGCCACCTGTTTTGAACAACAGTGTTAGTAACTGAACTGCCTTCCCAGTACTTGAGAAGTCCGCAGGTTTCTGAGACTTCGTGTGCCCTAACATTGGGCCCCGTCTTCTCAATCGTCCCATCACCCTCCCAGACCCCCAAACACCGCCACCTTCGCTCCCGCCCCAGGCGCCGCACGCATCCGGACCCCTGGCCCGCCCAATCCTCCAGAGATTTTCCTCCTCTTCCGCCCCCCGACCCATCATTACTATTCCACATCTTGGTCGAGATTCTCTTGGGAAAGGAGGGCCAGAAGGTTCCAGTCAGATAAACTTGCAAAACACTTCAGAATCCCGTCGCTATTACTGCGTCGTATCCACTTTTCTCTGGCGCCACAAACTACTTCCCGCGAAGGACTGAGCCAATCAGCGCACGCTTCTCGCTTCAGCCAATCGACGCTTACGAATCATACCTTTATTTTCCTGTTATCTCCAGCCACATTTCTGACAGTGCGCATGCTCCAAGTGGAGTTGGAAGCCTCTATGCCATCTTTACTAAGGGTAAACCCTCTGCGAAAGCGAAAAGCGAAAGTGTGGAGTGCTGATAGGACCGTACCTCAAGCAAACAACCAATTAAAGCAATCCGCCCGCGGCACTTACGTCACGTGAGCGACTCCACGTCACTTCCTTTGCTTAACGTCCTCTTCCTGCCAAACTGTCACTAATCAGGCGATGATTAAAGCGCTGTAATAGAGTTCTTGCTTCAACGTTCCGGTACTAGCGTCGCAGCACCTCGTGAGGTTTTTTTGTTCGTTTGTTCTTCCTAAGGAATCAAATACTCTGCTGCGGGGTGTAGCTCGACGGTAGAGTGCTTGCTTAGGATGAAGGGGTCCCTCCAGCGCCACAATGGTGGGGAATCAAATTATCCTGTAATGCCGTCTCCTGGTTCTCTTACCTATGACGACCTTTTTTAAAGCACTGGAGGATGTGGACCGCTTGCCCACATTTCTTACCCCATCCCAGGTTCAAGATCCCCAGTCACTTCGGATTTTTTAAAAAAAAATTACAGTGGGGATAAAACCCAGGGGCATTTTAGCACAACTACATCCCCACCCCTACCCCCTTTTTTCATTTTCTTTTGGTACCGAGGATCAAACTCAGGGACTTGTGCTTGCGAGGCAGGCAGGCGCCGACGCCACTGAGCTAAATCACCCCTCCCCCCTTTTTTTGAGACAGAGTTTCGGAAAATTTGTCTAGGCGGGACTCGAATTTGAAATCATCCTGTCTCAGCCTCTCAGTGCTGGGATTACAGGGGTGCACTACCACACCTGGTCTGCAAAGTTATGTTCAGAAAAATTGAAATAACCGGCTGTGGTGGTGCACTCCTGTAATCCCAGCAGTTGGGAGGCCAAGGCAGGATTATTGCAGGTTCCAACCAGGAGGAGTAAGGAAATGAATTCAAGGCCAGTCTGAACTACAAAGCAAGACCCTGCCTCAAAATAAAAACAAACAGAAATAGCAGGGTCTGGAATTTAGCTCAGTGGTGCCAAGGCTGCCTTGCAAGTGCAAGGTCCTCTGAGTTTGAGCTGGTACCAAAAAACAACAACAACAACAAAAAACCGTAACATTGTTTTAAATACCACTTAGTCGGCAGATTTTTTTGTCAATTCATTTATTTGACATTGATTTGTCAATTCATTTATTACATATTTGCTGCTTCTTTCTTTGTTCCAGAGCCCAGGATGCAGTAGTAGATAAGAAAGACGTTGTCCATGGGCTCCTGGACGGGCCCTATTAAGCATTTTACTTTCACTAGCTCAAACTTGTGAGCTCTGGAGGTGCTATTCTTCTTGCAGTTTTATAGCGAAGGCTGTTGAGGCACAGAGAGTTGTGGAGTCTGCATTTAAATCCAACCAGGCTGATGACATCAACTGCTGTAGTTACTGTATCTTCTAGTACTCCTAGAACTGGGTCAGGAACTCAAGTGAGAATTGGGGTTCAGGTAAGAAAACTGAAAATATAAATGAGTTGAATAAAAGCAGAGAAAATTTAAATTTTTTCTCCACAACAAGAAAACTACATGTGATATGATTGAAAATACAGCGAACATCTAAATTAAATATTACAGTAAAAGACATTGCTACACATCCCCCTCAGCCTGCTCCCACATACTTCACAACACTCACCCCACTGTGCTTGCCACTTTCTGATGGGTCTGGACATCCTCTTTCATGAATGTCTCTAGTTGGGCTGTCCTGGTTGCCTCAATGTCCTGAATTAATTCAAGATGTTTACCCTTCGTGGTCATTTTAACTTTGGAGAGGAACCTGAAGTCGCAAGGTTGTCAGATCCACTGAATAGTGTGGATAAGGATACGCTGTAATGTTCTTACGAGCCTTCCTTTCCATGGGACGGCGTACTGACAGCAGCAGTTGTTATTTTTAATAGCTGACGCTAGAAATCATTTTTTGTATGAAAGTTTCTGAATTTCAGTTAATAAGTAAATTTTAAAAACTTAAACACTATGTGGGACAAAGATATCAACTACATGTTACGTGTGTACCATTTTCCTTATTTTAATTCTGTAATTCTTTATATTTTAAGATAGGGTTCTGGCTATTCCCCAGGCTGTCTTTGGACTCCAGATTCAAGGGATCTTCCTGTCTTAGCCTCCTGGGTAGCAGGTGCCTAGTTCTGAAATTCCATAAACCTCCAAGTCACTGAGAAATAAGATAGAGGCACGGGCCAAAGCTTGAGGCATACCAAGATGACATTAGTATATTAAGCCTGAGGTATTTGAATCATACACAGTATGATGTGTAAGAGCATATTTTTATACTAAAATGTTTGAAATTAAGACTACAGGTTAGTGTGGTGGTACAAGCCAAGCACTCTCAAAAGACTACGGCAGGAAAATTGCAAGTTTGAGCCTAGCCTGGGCAATTTAAAAAATTTAGTGAGAGCCTGTCTCAAAAAATTTTTAAAAACAACCCTAATTGATACAGGCCCTCCTGATTCAGTGTGGCCCTTGCTGATTGGCCTAATCCTGTGAGCTCCCACCATGGCTGTGATTGTGGAATCACTCTGATACCTGAGAGCGGCAGGGGGCGCTCTTGATACTTATGCGACAATAGGCTGGAAGCTATCACTTCTCAGTGATGCACTCACTCGCATCTTTAGCAATGTGACAAGGGCTCCTTGGACCAGAAAGTTGTCGGGTTCCTCCGAGACTCCTCCTCGAGCCTGCGACCTTGGATGGCTGAGCTCCGCTTTAGCAAGAGTCCTGTTAAGGCCACCTGGTGGGGAGTGGACCCCACCTTGATAAACAACGGTCTGTCTCCTCCTGGTCACCTTCCTCTCTTACACACACACACCCTTGGACTGCCGTGAAGCGCTCCTATCAACAGTCCTGTGTCTCCCACAGCAACATCCTGAATAAAGTCTGCCTTGATTGTTCAAAAAAAGTTTAAAAGCTGATAGAGGGGCCTGTAGTCCCAGCGCTTGACAGACTGAGGCAGGAGGATTGCCACAAGTTAAAGGTTAGCCTAAGCTACATAGCCAGACCCTGTCTCAAAAAAGTTTAAAAATAGGTTCAGGGATTTAGCGCAGTGGTACCCTGCTTGCCTAGCAAGTGCAAAGTCCTGAGTGCAATCCCCAGTACCAAAAAAAAGTTTTAAAATATGGGCCTGTAGTCCCAGCGCTTGACAGACTGAGGCAGGAGGATTGCCACAAGTTAAAGGTTAGCCTAAGCTACATAGCCAGACCCTGTCTCAAAAAAGTTTAAAAATAGGTTCAGGGATTTAGCGCAGTGGTACCCTGCTTGCCTAGCAAGTGCAAAGTCCTGAGTGCAATCCCCAGTACCAAAAAAAAGTTTTAAAATATAAAAATAAAGAATGACTGAGCCGGGCGTGGTGGCACATGCCTGTAATCCCAGCACTCAGGAGGCTGAGGCAGGAGGATCGCTGTGAGTTTGAGACCAGCCTGGGCTATATAGTGAGTTCCAGGTCAGTCTCAACTACACAGTGAGGCCCTGTCTCAAAAAAGCTAAAACAAACAAACAAACAAACAAAAAAATGACTGAGATGTAGCTCAGCAGGAAGGCCCTGGGTTAAATCCTCAATACTGCAAAATAAAAAACCTGGAAAATTTAAGATGAATGTTCACTATGGTTAATAAACTTCATCTGGGGTTTAACTAGTTATAAATTCAACCGAGAAGGGTATAACATTTAAAATTAAAATGACCAAAATGTTTTAAATATAATTTTTATTTATTTATTTATTGGTACGGGGGAGCGAAGTCAGGTGACCAGGAGGACACACCTCGTTTTCTTTATCTGTTTGTCTATGGATGGGCACCTCGGCTGTTTCCTCAGCTTAGCTATGGTACCTTGTGCCACAATAAGTACGGTCATGCATGTGTCATATAGTGCGCTGCCTTTAATTTTAGTGTGTTATCTAACTGTCTTTAATTTTTTCTTAAAATACAAGGAGTGGTATAGCTGGATCAACGGTGTTTCTGTTTCCCACGGTTCCTTAGTCAAAGCAACATTCTGTGGGCAGAAGCAAAGCTGCTACGGGTGAACTAAAGAGAGAACGAAAAACAGCAACATCTGTATGTGTGGGGATCTTCGGCGGCTCCTGCCTGGTCCGTCGCCGGCCAGCTCGGATTCTCCTCACCTGTGCCCCAAGAAAAGGCTGCCGCTCTGACTTGTGGGGAGCACTGTATGGTAAGTACGCGGGTGCTCAGTCAGAGCCCAGAGGCGGCCAGGAAGCGCAAAGCAATACAAATGGAAACAAGAGTGAAATTAGGGCGGGGGTTAGCTCAGGGGCGCTGTTGCTTCGCAAGCCAAAGGACTCGAGTTCTGATCCTCTGTACAAAAAAGAAGGAAAAAAGTGAAAATCGGGAGATTAGATGGAGCGGCAAACATAGTTGATGTCACTTGTTCTTATAACATGAATGTTAAGCCATTCAAACAATTTTTTTGGGGGGGAGTTTGAGACAGGGTCTCACTACGAGGTTGAGACTGACCTGGAACTCACTACGTAGCCCAGGCTGGTCTCGAACTCCCAGCGATTCTCCTGCCTCAGCCTCCCAAACGCTGGGATTACAGGCGTGCACCACCACGCCCGCCCATTCTCACAATTCTAAAGGACAAGATCACGGGACACGTTAAGTGTGCTGTACCAGTGTAAAAGTTTTTTTTTACTGTAAAAAGAGCATAGTTTATTCACAGTATTTGTGTGGACATTTGTTTTTTTTTTATGCTTTATATTGTATATTTGTGTCAAAGGTGTGTAAGACTCATTTGGCTGGATTTACAAATGAATCTGACTTACGAACACTCTCCCTGAACAGAACCATTAGTAAGTCGGGAACTTACTGTATGTTGAAGCAAGAGATCATCCTGGAAAACCAGACACTAGAAAACAGAAAGTGGGCAAGGGAGCCTCGGGGCTAAGAGCAAATTAAAGGAAACATTTTTGGGAATGGGTAAGGAAACTTTTGAGGCCATGAAGAATTCTACCAAAGAGTTTGAAAAGCATCAATAAATAAAAGTAAGCAGGCTAAAGAAACTATGAAGG